GAATATTCAACTAAAGTAAGAAGCACATGAGATACCAACGTCTGGCACTGCCCGGTGGGGAGCATAAAGGGCAGTGTGCCTCTAATGCAGACTCAGAGCACAGTGGCAGGGTGACTAATGACCCTCAGTGCTCTCAATTATTATCGCTGGCGCGCATGCACACACACACACACCATATGATTCACTCTGGTTCTGACTGTAGAGAGGCATGACTCAGTCGCACTCATGGTCAGCTACACCAACATTTCTATCTCCATCTCAATTTCCCAAGACCCATAGACTCTTGGTCTAAATGAGGACATCAGCACTCTAGGAAATAGGTTTGTCCCACAGAAAAGCCACCCGGTGCAGCACAAATTAGCTTTCTGCCCTGCTGCAATCAATGTGAAAGTGGGTCTCATTAATTTCATGGGTCACACCTCGATCTTACATCATTCAGAGGCCATTTCCTTTTCCATGGCTTTGATGTTTGGTTCGAGATGAGGTGTCTTTAAGGTCAGTTGCTGATTTACTCATTTACTGAAGATGTCACAAAGTCTGCATCAACCGCGGACCTTGCATAACAGTGTCTCAAGGGAGAGTATCCTGTTATCTCTCTCCATATATTACTTAAGCTATAGTATATCGGCTATTTGGCATATCTATATATGCATTATATCTCTGAGTTTAATGATAAGTGTCACATGACTTGAACACATGAGCTATTCTACCCACGTAAAAGTTTAAATCAAGAAATCTTTTCCACACATGATTGTGTACAATATGAACTCCAAGGGGGAAAAAAGATCACTTTTATATCACACTGAGTAATTTAAGACTGATGGTCACTCAGTTTATGTGGAAATAATCACAGCAAGTCTTAATTACAAATATTTGACAAATTAAGTCAAATTGGCCGGCCCAAGGCTGCCGGCTTTATATCAGTGCTGCCAGACTAGGACTCAGTGCTCTATCCTCCAGTCTGGTCGGCTCGCAGACAGCCAGCCGGCAGAATCAGCCTGCAGCCCCAGGAGAGCCTTCCATCCTGCTGCGTCTGCTCTTCTTCCTCCCCACACACATCCATCCTGCCTGGTCGGCCTGTCAAACCCTGCACCTCCCCCTACCCTCACCCATTCCTTCGTCATCCCCCCCTCTTCCTCCGCTCCACTGGGCTTGTGAAGGTGAGCCAGTCCCCAGTGGCACTACTGTACAGATTGCAATGCTTCCTCTTCAAATGTAGGCTGCTCTCTCCATCCATCTCTTCAAATCCATGTAAAGAGTGGCTGGGCTGCACCTCTTCTTCCTCTTCCTGCACCTTTTATTTGGTTATTTTTGTCTTTTACCACGCACTTATTCCTGGAAGTCTTTATTATTTAGTCTCTGTCTTGTCTCAGGTCAGCTGTCCTTGACCACGGCTGGGAGGGACACAGGCTGCTCCCTGTCTCACTTAAGAGCAAGCCTGACAAAAAGAAAGCACTCCCAGAGGCTTTAGGCCAGTTTGGTGACAGCTGTCACCCAATTGCTTGTCCTTAAAAGCTCTTTTATGAGCAGGACGTGTGAAGGAACGGTGACAGCGGCACAAGGAATGCTTCAGTCTAGCTCTACTGACTCTACCTCTAATGGATGCGGCTAATCATTTTTCATAGATAGTGTCCATCTGCAGTTGTATAATGGATGTATTTTTGTTGGTGCACTTCTGTGTAGCTGACATTTTCCCTAGTCTGCAGAGAGCTGAAATCTCTTCACCCCACTTCCATGTTAGTTTCTGTTCCTCTAGGTTTTGATGCTCGGTGGAATAGACAGGTTCTGTTATTATTCTCCCTGCAAAGCTGAAACATAAAAAACATATCTGACTCAGGGGTGATTCCACCATTTTTTAAATGAGGTGGCACAGGGTTACCATGCGAGGCAGCTGGATTTGCGAGAACACAAATCACAAGAGAATCCATCTTGCCAGTCTAAAAGCTATGCGCTTGTGTCCGAACAATGGTTTGGATCAAGCAGTGTTCTATGAGGAACTACTAGCAGTGTGACAAGCATGAAGCAGTTGTTTGTTAAAACACAACAGTTAGCGGTTAGTGTCGATGCTGCTATAGCATGAGTTATATCAGAACTAGAAAGTATTTCTACATTGGAAGAAGAGCAGCGTGGACAGCACTGATGGCTTTTCTCGATGGAAAGGACGTTAACGCTCTTCTCCCGACTGGCTTACTGGGTTGTTGATCTAATAAGTTGAAGTTAACCCCTGATGGTGATAGACAGATGGTTCATCCAACCACCTGCCAAGTATTTTTTGAAAGTGCCTGCCCTTTTCTAAACAGTTTCTAAAGATTACTTCCCAGATGGTTCTGTGTAACAAACCATTTGGTGCAGTTTGGTTAGGCACAGGAGAGGGCCCAAGAACCAGTTAGCGGGGCCCATGGGAAATCAGAAAATACAGCATTGAAAATTGGCTTAGAACACACTGGGCACGATTTTCAGGCTTGTGCAGTGCCCTTTGCCCTAATACAGGTTGTATTACATTTATTACACGTGTTGAATAAAGGATAGGACAACACAATTCCGTTCTATTAAATAAAGAACATCACAGAAGCATTAATTATTCATTTAACTGATTTTTAATACAAACATTGCAGTGTGTGTGTGTGTGTGTGTGTGTGTGTGTGTGTGTGTTCTCTGCACTCCATGTTCTGAGCTGGAAATCTGTGTCTGTTTATAATGAGGCTCTTAGGAGCTTTTGAAGCCGTTATACCCGTGAGGGTCGTCTTTACTAGGGCAATTGTGGCTTCAGTAGCCTTCCGCAATTGGTAGGCTACAGAAGCTCACTGCTCACTCACTGCTGTTGCTGTTACCTGGAGTTCACCTATGTATATTACACCCCAGTCCACGTATTCCAAAATGTATAATGAAGTGTGTATAGACATGGTGTTGTTAATTGGCCAAAAAAGTCTCAAGTCGTGTCTCTCCCCTCCTCACGGTTGTGAAAAACAAGGTACAGTTGGCTGCTGGAAATTGAACACCTAATATAAAGGTCCAGTGTGTTTTTAAGATTTAGGGGGCTCCATTTACAGAATATGGCAGAAATGGAATATGATATCCCTTACTATGTTTATAATAGTTTATAGTCACCTGAAAATAAGAATTATAATGTTTTTGTTACCTTATAGACTGAGCCTTTTGTACTGTAGTACACATAGAAAGGGAGAGTGATGCAAGGGGGTTTCAGTCAGCAAATACAAAGCTAGAAACCACAAAATCCTACACACTGTTATTGTAATGATAATAATCATTTTGTTGTAGTTGATGTTCCTAAATGCCCTATGTTGTTTCCTGTTATATGCAGCCTGTGTGTACTGGGAGGAAACATAGATAGTGTATCTATAAGGAAAATTAGATTCGTAAGATTGTCTTGCTGCTTAATGGAAAATTGTTATGGATTGGAAGATAAGAACTCCAACCTGTTTTAGCTTGAGCAGTTGGCTGGAAGAGTTTATAGATTTAATAGTGGAAGAGACGCGACACATCAAGGCACCTTGATCTGGTCCAAAGGGATTGTATAAGGTAATATTTGAACCCCCCCAGTTTCCTTTGTTTGCTGTTGTGCACATATGTTGTTGTGCATTTGGGCAGCTGTAGCTCAGGAGGTAGAGCTGGTCGTCCACTTATAGAAAGGTTGGCGGTTTGTCCCTGGCTCCTCTGTCAAAGTGTGCTTGAGCACACTTGAAAACTGCTCCTGATGTGTCACCAGTGTGTGAATGTGAATGAATGAGTATTATTTTCCATTTGATGGCCTTTGCCATCACCGTGTGAATATGGGATAATGTGGCATGTAGTGTAGAAAGGTGCCGTACAAGTACAGACCATTTACCATTTATTTTTTAACGTCATCTATGTATGTATTTTGTATGTATGTAATGTATGTGTTTAATATCCAGTCTGTAAAATAAAACATTTGAATAAATATTACTTATTCACAAAGGTAAACCGGCAATACATGAACAGACAATGCCAGGGGACAGAGAGAAATCAAAATTAGTTAAATAAATTAAAAGAGATTGTTTATAATTGAAAAATTTAGATTGGTGGAAGTGGAATTATGCAAGCAGAAGGATCAAATTGATGATATAATACTGATTTCTTTTGGTAAAGGGGTAAGAAAAAAAGCCAAACAATATAGCACTTAATATTTTGGCTGCTAATAAAATAAGCAGTTTAGTCTGTACAGTGTTTCTTCTAGGATTTTTTTAGCAGTGGGCCGCCGCTCCAAAATCAACATAGAGGAAACACTGCTGTAATAAAGTGACTAGCCAGTGTAGTAATAGATACTCACTTAGCTTTGAATATGGACAGAAAATGAAGTGTGCTCCGATTGATCCGTCAATATTTGCTCTCATTAGTTTGTTCAGCGATCTCTATAACCGCTTATCAGAACAGGAAAGTTAATCAGCCTTTTGACACATGTAGCTTTACTTGGGCAGGCAGCCTGTACATTAACAGTCAGGGACTCATTTTAGTATTTTGCAGAGAAACAGAGTCAGTTCTGTTTTCAATAGGCGGCGTCATCAGCTCACCTTCTGTTGTGACTACAGAATCATGAAATCCTTTCAAACGAGTTGTGTTTTTTGGACTTTGTAAAACTTAACTGCTGACCAACGACACATACAGTCTATATATGGAGAGAGGAGCAGAGAGAGGCGGGGTGGGGGCAGCTGGTGTGGCTGAGACAGGGGTGTAGGTGTGCGCGTACACTACAAATTTAAAGCTTTAAATGGACCCAGTGATCAGTATCGCCCGGTGCTGCTTCTAGTGATCAATGATAGGCCTCAAAAACTTAGATCGGAGATCATTCACAGAAAATGTCAGGCTCCAATGTCCAAATTGTCTGTTTCAACTCTTTCCGAATTGAACACTATCTGCACATTTGCTCATGTGCACATGAATGCCTTGGTGAGCACGGAGTGTTATCTGGCTGTCCTGTTGCTGCAGGTGAACTCATTGCCTTTCCTTTTGTATTTGTGCAGGTTTTTGGAGATTATTATCACTTCAGGCATCATGCCGTGGAGAAGAGGGCTTTGTCTGGCCACAGGGGGATGCACATCAGACTGCAAAAAGAACCACAGGTAAGACTGGTGTCAGCTCCCACACAGCTCATTGCAGCACTCCATGTTGGCAACAAAAGGCCAAAAGACAGATTGTATTACACACAGAGAGTGTCTAGATCACAAGAGAAAAGGATGCCAGCATCAATGACAGCTTGTCAAACTCTGTATTCTTTTCAGTCCATGCCTGTCCTTCCATCTGTCCCTCTGACCCAATCTGAGGTACCACATAGCTGTAAATATGCTGCATAAACCCTCCCAAACAACACAACAGCTGGGAGTGTCTCTGTGCCTGGCCATGCTTTTTTCTCCAGTCTTGTAAAATCATTATATGCACCTAAAAGTGAACTAGAGCGGAAAATTGGCATTCATCAGTCTAACATCCAGAACCAAGAAAATTCCCTGAATATCATCTTGTTTTAGACATCTGGTTCTGAATCTGCACACAGCCCAACCACAAATTTATACCTGGCAAACTGTAACTGCAAAATCTTCCTGCAAAATCTTCCTGCAAACTTATGTGTATACCAGATGTAGTTGAGTCAGCATGGAAATGCCAACATAGTGGAGGGAAGTTATTTTTTCTTACAAGGGATTAGAAGAGATAAGCAGTCTCACATTGCCAGACCTATATCTATACTATGTTTGAACTGTTCATACACGGAAGAAAGATCTTGTAGGTTTAAAAAAACAACCCTTTATTTATTTTATTTCTTAAACCAAAGAGAATTAAACCCTTGTCAAATCTGAGAAACTTCATTTTTCAGACGTTTCAGAAGTTTTTTGTTTTCATAGATAGTGACTTGAAAATGACTGTGGAAGCCAGAAGAGAGAGTGGAGGAGGGCAGAAAGCACTTATTATGCCCTGCAGTTAATCAGCCTTCATGAATAACAAGAACCTCTTTCTGTATTTAGAAAGGTTATTGGGTTTCTTTACATAAGGGAATTCACGCACTGGCTGGGAGCAAATTTATTGGTTAATTTTGGGTAACATTCTTTATACGGATTAAATTCACATTAAACACTTTACTCTTGAATCTTTATTGCAACTAAACATACACAATCCGACAGCCTTCAGATCAAAGAATGTCTCACTAAAGGCAAAATGATCAATGAGGAAACTCACAATATGATCATTAAAAAAAGATATTTCACTGTAGATAAAAATGGTAATAAGATGAAAACTTTATAGATTATTACTTGACTGACTGGACAGGAAAATACTGTCAGCTGAGAATAAAAATTAAAAATGTCATTTTACTCAATATTAGAAGCTCACATTATTTTGGTTATATAAATGTTATATAGTTTTGTTATGTTATTGTTATTTTGTAGGAAAATAAAGCAAATTACACTTTTTAAATAAATATAATACCTCTTCAGTCTGTGTGTGGGCGGATCAAGAACAAAAATAAAGGTTAATATGGTATATTTTTATGTCTAACCTTTTGCATTCTGTGTTCATGGGCTTTACTGCTTTTATTCACACCTGAGCTGTTGAGGGAGGAAATGTCATTCAGATCTGAGAGGGCATAATGCCACACAGGTCCTAAACAAATATCAGGATACTCTACAAACCTCACTGAGAATGGTTTTCTATATTTTCTAGAAAATAATATAAAAAATAGTTCTGTTGACAGTGAGAACATTGATTCTGAAAAGAGACATTGTTTTCTATTGTAATGTATGAGTGCTATAAACAAAATGCGTCACCTCAGTTGTGTGTGAATTCTCAGTGGCAAAAATCTCAAACCCTTGGAAAAAACACAAGTCTTTTTGCATGGCAAGATACTGTACAGTTAGCACTTGTGGTTCAAGGGAAAATACAACCATCATCTATAACATTATGACCACTGACAGGTGAAGTCAATAACACTGATTATCTTGTTATCATGGCACCTGTCAGTGGGTGGGATATATTAGGCAGCAAGTGAACATTTTGTCCTCAAGTTGTTGTGTTAGAAGCAGGAAAAATGGACAGCGTGAGGATTTGAGCGACTTTGACAAGGACCAGACTGTGATGGCTATACGACTGGGTCAGAGCATCTCCAAAACTGCAGCTCTTGTGGGCCGTTCCCGGTCTGCAGTGGTCAGTACCTATCAAAAGTTGTTGGAAAAGCGGTGAACTGGCGAAAGGGCATGTGGTCTGATCCAACAGACGAGCTACTGTAGCTCAGACTGCTGAAGAAGTCAATGCTAGTTCTGATAGAAAAGGTGTCAGAACACACAGTGCATAGTTTGTTGTGTATGGGGCTGCGTAACCACAGACCAGTCAGAGTGCTCACCCAGGTGGCCATAATGTTGATCTTATTGATCTGCGTATGTACCTTTTGTGATTAGGATGAACTGACCCTATAAATTTACCATACATAATGTTGATAGTGTTTGACCACCATAAACAAAAATGCAACATGACTTGTTTTGCCCGTTAAAATCATCCTAAAAAGCCACTTCTTTATTTTAAAGATTCTCCCCATTGATCTCAAAGCCAAACTGATGGGCAAGCTAGTTGAATAAATGTCAACCCAGGCAGCAGCAGCAAATAACTGTGCACACAAGTGCTGCCACCTGCTTCAGCAACACGCTGATGCCATGTGTACTTTGAAAACACTGGAGGCAGCAGTGTTGATTGCTGCTATTTAAAAGCATCTTAAGGGGTACCTGACTCGTGCTAAAAAGAGGGGCAGTTAAGAAGTGAGAAGAGACTTGGGCCATCTGTAGCAAGGTAAGCCTGCCAAGCGGAGTCTAAGGACTACTCTCTAGCTTTTCCCGAGCCCAACTCAAGCTGGCTCAGAAGAAGGGCCGATGTGGTTTGACAAACGTTCAGGCCCCAAGACATCATTAGTGACATATGGTACATTCACTGAGGCCAGTGGAGTCAGAGGTCAGGCTAAATGGATGTTAACAAGGCTCTGAGAGCATATGGGTTAAGGGGTGTCTGCCTGGGACTTGGCAGAGTACTATGGTACTCAAATTTTTATAAGATTTGCTTTGAGATGTCCAAAACCGATAACAAATGAGATTTAGTATGGGCAGTGACAGAGGCAAGGATTTTGTCATTGTAACCTACAAGGATTTAATGATGTACAATACAGGGTTTTAGAGTTGTATGCACCAGTGAGGGATAAAATGCAGAACTGTTGGCAAAACCACAGGACTAAAAAGAAACAGTCAATCAACAGTTGACAGTGACTGGCAAGACCAGAATTATTCTGAAGTTTACTGTGTGACTAGATGTCCTATTTCCTTTATATAGTATATGCAATTTGGCAATACTAAATGAAAGAGAAAGCATCTTGAATTTAAAACTGGAGCCCTAGCAGCAGACCCAGGGAGATACAGACACATCTAACATGAAGACATTTTTGACACAAGAGATTCCATCTCACAGGTTCATATCAGTCGGTAGTTCAAGTTAACACTGTGCTTGAACCCCCAGCTATTCAGGGCATCAGGTATCTAGCTAGGGAGCAACAGTTTGTCCTTAGGTTACCTACCCACCCACACAACCAGAAACGGACCAAACCTTAGGCAAAGCACTACCACTGCCAAAAAACATCACATTATAAGTGAGTAGGTTTGGGTTTACATGTGTTTAATAACGTGCACTTGTATATTCATATGTGTGTGTGTTAGACCATGTGATCCCTGAAAAATGGGAAAGAAAAGGTTCTGCTTCACCTGGTCCAAAGAAAACACGTTTAAAAAGCAGTGAAAAAATAATGGTTGGATTTGGATTAGTCAGTGCTGAGCCATGAGCTTGTTACAGTGTTTCCTGTCTGTAATCTGGCTGCTGTCTCTCACATTACCCCCATTGTCTCCTTTCCTCTGCTCCGTGGTGCTTACATGCCGCTTATCACCATCCCCTTTGAATAATCACACAGTGGCAAGATGACATTGGCAGCTGCATAAGCTTTTACCATTATGCTTGCGAGGGTTGTTTGTCATCTCCTCTCCACACCCCACACCTTCTCTGTAAGGAAAAGAATCGATTTGTTTTGGGGTGGCTGCTGTTGGTTTTGTACAAACCGCAGTGTACGGCAGCTTACTGCATGCCGTGTTTCGGAGGGACCTTACTCTGCATCTCTCTCTCTCTCTCTCTCTCTCTCTCTCTCTCTCTCTCTTCCTCCCTTTCTCTCTTCCTCCCTTTCTCTCACAGTTTTGCTACAGCGTTAGTCTCTGGCTATAACAGTATCTGTACTGTTTACTGAGGCCTCACTGTTCAATGATAAGGCTGGAGATGATCTATATTTCTGTTATTGTTTAAAAAATACCATGAAAATACCAAATCCACCAGTTCATATCGCAGTATTTTCTGACTTCCACACATTTCTGTTGCACTCAGAACCCAAGCCCACTGTAAGAGGGATATATGGAAATCATGTATTTCTTGGGGGCTATTTTCAGCATCAGATTTGGTGCACTGGCGAATGTTTAAAGCAGTACCCCGCGTCACACATACGTCCACTATTCGTGAGCAGCACTGAAATGGTGGTTCTTCCCTCTTAGATCGTTTTATTTAAATTATTTTTAGAGGATGAATAAGTTTCAAAATAAACTACAGTGCCCATGTTCATCATAATGTGTGGTTCACTGATCTTTGGACAACAATGGAGATACAGTATGTGGCACAGAGGAATAAGCTATATTGGATTTTTGATTCTTAGCGGGATTAATTCCTTACTGGTTTTTGGTCTTTTCGGGGATTTGTTGATAACAAAAAAAGGAACATCAACAGACTTTTAGATCATCTTTCTCCATAAACTGCAGGAACACAGATCTATAAATCAAAGCACAGGCTGTCTCTCTACCAGTGTCTCTGCGTTACAAACAATACCAGCATGGCTTCTTCTTAGTCATCAGACAGGAAAAGCCCTCAGGACACGGTGCAAGAGGTGGAACAAATAGTTTATGGCTCAAGTGGATTATGGACCAATGCCATGTGGAGACCTCCGTCTTGTCTCATGATTGCTTCTTTGTGTGTTTGTGTTTGGCTACTCCTTGTCCTTGTCCCAGCCAGACCTCAGGATGATGCTTATACTGTTACTCTGTGTTCTATTAGTTTTCCTTCACTGATTTGGTCTTCGGGATAGATATCGATTAGACCCAGTTTTTCTCAGTCAATAAGAGACTGGATGAAATGTTGCATTCTGCATTTTTCACACATACACACAATATATTCTGCAATTTGCAATTAAAAACATTAGATTGCATGGCATCTGTTTAATCATTTGCATGAATTGGCTATATAAATTAAACTATAAATCCTACAGTAGGTGGCTGTATCTAGATCATCATCGGTTTCATGTATCAGTTGTAATTTTGCTCTGTTAATGTGGTGTGCAGTAGGCAGAAGTGCAATGGGGTCAGCCGTGTGCCGTTATAAATGTAATGAAATGAGATAAATGTTAATTAGTCTAGGGTCACTTGAATAAGGTTAATGATTTCATTCTCTGAGGCAAACTTTTCAACTAGGTTAGGAGCTGCACTGTCTTCGAGTAGCTGCGCTGAGCACGTTTTCATTCAGAGCACCTGCTTTATAAGAGCAGGTAATCATGAAATCAAATAGAGAAGCCTCATTACTAGGAACAACTCAGGCAGCAACAAGAAAAACGAAAAACACTGACTGAAAAGAACTAAAATACTTAAATAACAACTTTAAGAGTCTGCCGGGCATTGTAAAGCAAATTCACAGGTTTATACACGCTGCTTCGCCTGAGTGTTCTTGATAGAAAAGTGGAACCACTTTAAAGCTTTGTCACCTTCAGCAAAAATTCAGCAAAAGATGCATTTATCACTGACAATAATAACAGCATTTGCTTAAACTGCTGTAGAAGATAAGTTTCACTCCATCTATGCAAATTCCCTCTGCTACAGCATTAGTTCAGTCCAAGTTAGCTTTCAAGTTAGTTTTCCCCTAAATTTACAATTACAAGAAGAACAGCTGAGTTGCCTTCTGTTTAATTAGAACAAGAGGTAGTGTGTATTAAAGCAATAGCACTATATCCACTTTCCTATTCTCTGTGGTTTCCTAATATGTTCGCTTCTCATTCTTTGGATCACACGTGTCTTTAATCTATTTATGTAAATATCACTCTATTATAGCAAGGCATGAAAGCATCTATGACATAGAGTGGAATACTGCTCCATCTGTGAGAATGCATGGACTGGTCATGTCTTCCATGTTGAAATGTGCCAAATATATATTTGGCAGTCTGGACAATGTCCACATATTGGTGGTGACTGGTGAGGGGTCTGCTAATGACAGGGATGTTAAAGAAAAAAGCTGCAGTTGCCACATCTGGAAGGGGCTCTGCTACCTTCACCCTTATATGCTGTGTCGCCGGTGTAACATGACAATAGCACAAATTATTATCTAGTATTTATGTAAATATCATTTATGTTGTCTGTGTTTAAATATTTAATCATCAATGAAAATACCAAATGCTGTCAATTATTTGATGGAAATCAGGCTCACAGAGCAAAATACCTGTCAAATCAATACAAGCATGAAATAAGAACAGACAAATCCTTCATTCTAATAAGTGGACAGACATAAAATTATTTTCTATTGTCTGGATTCTGGCAACCATGTTTAGAAGTCTTGTTATTATTATTTATTTTGCAACTTCAGAAACAAAAGTATGAAAATGCCATTTACTATGTGTGATATTAGCAATTACTGTCACCCATCCCTACCAATCCTGTGCATACCACAGCAGCCTCCAGGACTTCAAAGGCCCCTACTCTGGCTCACTGTACAGTAGCCACTTTCCTTCTGCATCTCAGGAATGAAATAAATTAGATTTGCTTCACATCTCTGCCTCCCTTTCTAGTTATTACTTTTTGAACACAGCTGGGGCCGTGTCCACAGTCTGTGGGACATTGCAACACTTTCTCAAATTAGAACATTAAAATTGACACAAAGGCATGTGAGAATATCTGTAAATTGTGAATTTTCTGTTGTGTGTGTGTGTGTGTGTGTGTGTGTGTGTGTGTGTGTGTGTGTGTGTGCCCTCCAGGTCCTGTGGGCGGAGCAACAAGTGGTGAAAAAAAGGAAGAAGAGGGATGTCTATGAAGACCCAACAGACCCTGATTTCCCCAAACAGTGGTATCTGGTGTGTAATTGTCTCTTATCTTTATAGACTATATCTCATTCTCTCTGTCATTATAGCAGATACATTAAAAATTCAGTAGGTGTGTTTTATTTCTAAAATGGCATACATAGTGTAATGTGCAGTAGCATGCGTATTGTTGCATAAAATCTGTGTAGCATTACCAACAAAGATTTTCAAGTAAGTGCAGTCAGTGAAATCTAAAATCTTTTTTGTTTTTGTGTTCTGCACTTCTGAAACTATGCAAAAGTACCTTGTCTGCATTCAGATTTATGAATAACATAAGAGTTGTCCTGGACACTTTTCAGTTATTGCCTTGCAATTATTTCTGATTCTGAACACTGAAGGCCTCCTCATTCAGCCCTCTCTGAGCAGCACATTATTAGTGTACTTTTTTTTTGTATTTTCAGCTCTGTGGAAGCTTGTGAGTTCCAGTGTGTAACACTTAGGAGGATTTATTGGCAGAAATGGAATATAGTATTCATAGGTATGTTTTCATTAGTGTATAATCACCTGAAAAATAAGAATCCTCTGGTTTTCAACAACGAGACATTTTTATTTACTGAGGGTCCTTTTCCACTGAGTCTGTCATGTTGAGTAACCATATTTCTACTAGGGCCGTCCCCGACTATAGATTTTCCTCATCGACTAGTAGTCGTTATTCAAAGGCAATAGTCGACTAGTCGTTGAGTGTTTATGCTACTAATTTTAATTACTTAAATATACATATTTTAACAGCTTCATGTTAAATGACAACGGAGTAAGCGATAATGAATCTGAATGTGTCAGAACAACCAACAAGGAGACTGAACATTTGGGTCATTTATTTCAACACAGTATAACATCACACAAGTCTCGTTCAAAACACGGAACAAATAACTTTCAACTTCACAAGAACAAATTCTTGCAGACTCACCGATACGATGGATAATCTATAACGTCGACTAAGACTCTCACCAACTTACAGTTTACTCGAATATCAGGGGACAGCCCTATCTTCTATTGTGGCCCAGAATGGACAAACCAAACACTGGACTCAAAAAAGGGCCTTAAGCGTTTAATGCGAGTCTTGTGGTCACTGTAGTTTCTCCTACATGCTTGGAAGGCGAGCAGTATTTATTTGGTTGTAGTCTGCAACTTCACTGCTAGATGCCACTATATCCAAAACACATTTTTATTAGTATATTTTTTAGTATTCATTATCGCAGTGGCAGAAGTTATTAATTCCCTCATGGTCAGTCAAGTAAGCATAAATTCAATTGCCGAAGGGCTTAGTTACCCCAGCTTCACCACAAGGTTTCCTCAGCTAAAATGTATAATACAATGCATGCAGGATGCTGAGATGAATATAAAATGAAATGTCAGGACAGATCGACTACTAAGCTGCATCACCTGTGAAACATTGATAGAAAATGGTCCTGGCTCCATGTCTGTGCCGTTATTCACAGCTTTTCTCAGAGATGCTTCAATTTGCCTTAATCTTGCCTTTTTTTCCTTTTTTATACGCACAACACCTCTGTCACTGCAACGGATTAATGACAACATTGACTATCACAGACATAAATCACCAGTGAATAGAAGTTGTGAAACCACCTCTGCCATTCAGCATTAAACCTTTAATCGTCTTCAGCACTTAAACACTTTTTTTCTATTCTACACAGCTATGGCTTGAAACCCGAATAAAGATGGTTTAGCTTAAGGTATATGCCACCAGTGCTGAAGTTTTGTCGTGGCAGTATAACAAATTTGTTGTATTTAGAGGGCTTTTGTATTGGTTTATTTGGGTACATCAGTTTGCAAAAGTATGTATTCAGTGTTGCCAGTTCAAAGTTTACATCTGGGAATTTAAGCTACTTACCTGAGCATTCAGGCTTCCTCACAGAGGTGCCCATGCAGGAGTTGTGCCGCCTGGAGAAAAATCAGCAGGAAACAAAGACGAGGGCAGAGAAAGTTGTCTGTGATGTTTTTCCATTCCTCCACCTGCCTTATGTGTTTATCTGGAACCATCTCTTTCACCTCCAGCACTCACTTCTCTTCATACTTCTCACAGTATGCATTTTCCATTCTTCATCCAAATCACACTTTACCACCCTGTATCCCCTATTTGCCTCCCTCCCCTTCTTCTCAACGCTTGCAGACAAACTATTCTTCTGCGAGAGAGGCAAATGTTCTCATCAAAGATTCTGACCTACAACAGGTTGTGGGTCTTCTTTCTGACAGTGTAACTACAGTAGGATGCTCATGCTGGGCAGCTCAGCCTGAGGAGGCAGACATGTCCGGGTGATGCATTAAAATTGGATTTTAAGTGTTCATGAACTACCTCTGATCTTCCTTTTTATATCTTGTTTATTCTTTCTTTTGAGAATTTATTTTTTTTCTGCAGCGACTGAAAGGTCTTTGCAGATGATTTAAGCTGCACTCACACTGATAGACCCTTTTCTGTTTGTTTGTCAGGGAAGTATCAGTTATAGCAGATTGACAGCTGAACAAATGCTTTGTGTCTCTTCCAGTCCACTCCAACACATCAAGACCTGAATACCAAAATAGCCTGGGCTCAAGGCTACACAGGAAAAGGTGTAGTGGTGACTATCCTAGACGATGGCATTGAGAAAGACCATCCTGACCTCATCAGCAATTATGTAAGTCGAAAAAGTAGCCTGCTTATTTGTAAACAGCATTTACAGTTGCTATTTACAGAATAATTACAACAAAGTTAAATGAGAAAAGAACGACTTATAATGACATGATTGGTATTCTGACCTTTTTCATGCCCCCTATAGGACCCTGAGGCCAGCTATGATGTTAATGACGGAGATGCTGACCCCCAACCGAGATACACGCAACGGAATGAGAACAGGTAATTTGGCAAAAGCAGCAATCTGGCAACACTGTGATCTTAATTGCTTCAAAATTAGCTTTCAAACTTAATGGAAATTTGGCAAACTGGATCAGACATGACTAATTTCATTATGAGAGTGGGCATTCATAAGCTGTGGAAAAAAAATTGGACTGTGTTTTTTTTTTTTTTTTTTTTTTTTTTTTACAAAACAGCACTTGTCCAACCCTCGATGAGTTCGACTCGGCACTAGCTGCCTACAAATGTTAGTTGACAGGGAATGACACTGGTGAGAGAGTGCTAAGTCTATACAGCTTTTGGTCCAGTGCTTTTGGCTGAAGCATTTACATTTAGAGACCAATTATATAAAGTTTGAAAGCACTGGTGCACTCATTCTACAAAGTCTTGAAAGATTGTTCCTTTATTTTTTTTCTTGCTTCAATACCCAAGCCACGTTGCTATAGCAGCATTTCAAGGTCCAGCCCTTACAGCCCCATAGCCACTCTGGCACTTATTTGTCGCTAACATAATAGTTGTTTACTTGCCCTCAGTGATTCTTGCTCTTCCTTTCGAGTCTTTGGTGAGCACATTAAAACACGGTCGGCCCAATTTAATGATGGAACACTAAAGCTCTAGCGAGGGCGAATCCTAAACCTTCATCCCCTCCCCTCTCCCTGTTTTTCAAACGCCATGGTCCTCTTCCTCAGTCCAATCCCCCCTGGAGCAGATGAGAAGCTACATCCCGCCTCTGAAATGCACAGCAGGATTTGTCTCAAATCTCTCCCTTTTCTGGGACGACTGCCACTGTATTTTTTTTTTTTATAGCTGTTTGTGGTTTGTTTTTGTTCTTTGTTTCGGTTTTCAAAGTGCAGCATCCACTTATAGTTGGTCAGAGAAAGAAGCTAAGTTTTCATGAGATTGTAGAATCTTTTGTATGAGAATAGAATCATTTCTGCGCACATGTTCTGATTTGAACTTTACAATTGTGAAACAATCTTTGTTTGGAAATGTGATGTATTCATCTACAGCATTTGAAAGAGAGTAGCATCAGCAGGTTTTGTGAGCAGAGGCCTTGTTTCTTGTCCTTGCCGACAGCTGGAGCAGCCATGCAGAGCGACCCCAGTCCTTTCTGTCAGTGTAAAGTAGATCCCACTCTGTCGTGCTGATGGAACAAAGCGCTACTGGAGGGGATTACTCCCTGCCTCTGGTTCACTTCAGCTTCCCCAATGCACCATGCTTTTACAGAAAGGAACAGATTTGCACTTGCACGCACACTTCTACCCATGTCAGTGGAATTGCCAAATCAATTATCCTCTACTGGATCAATTTATAAGCATAGACTCAAAAGCAAAAGGGTGTGTCTGTGTGTCTATAGCGTGGAGCTGTGGTGTTTACAGTGACCTGTGGACAAATTACATCCAATAACTTATGTAAATCACAACAGAGTAGAGTAATACTGGCCGACAGTGAGTTATGCTCACAACCCCGTCACAATGAGATTATATGAATATATTCATGGGACAACAAAAAGCAAATGAGAGTCGGAGGCGGGCATTTTCCATATCCGCGAAGGCAAGTTCATTTGTAATGATGACACGCAAGGCTGATTTTTGAATTCTCATCTCTGGGTTTTTCCATCGAGATGCTCGGTGCTATTGAGTTGGCAGCTCTGGCAGATATGTGTTGAAGTGGGTGCAGGCTAAGTTGAAGGCTGGCTGAAGTCTAGCCAAGCAGGTAATCCATTTGTGCTTCATCATAACAGATTTTGTCTTTTTTTCTTTCTCTTCTTTCCTCCACCTTTCCTCCTTCGTGTCAGTGTGATTTGGATGTAGAGTGCAGAGCGAGGGCAAGATTGATTTCATCTCCTGTCCACAACCTATCATTAGAGCAGAGCACTATACATTTCTAAAAAACTTAAAGTGAACCTCAAAAGGACCTGTGCAGTAAAGTCAATATCATCAGGATATTAATCGTGATAATAATAGTTATTTTTCCGTACATATCAATATTTGAAACTCTTTGAATAGGAAAAAAAATTCTTTTTAATTATTGCTTATATAGAATCATTAATATGGACAACCCAATTTATTTGTGTAGTGATTTCTTTCAGTAGCCTTTGTTAATCTCCAAAATCAATACAGACGAATAGAGAAAAGACTTTGAATTTCTCGAAGCACGTATACATAACCAAACAATTCACTGCCTCCTCTTCTTCCAATTTATTTAGCCACACACACACACACTCCCTCTAAATTCCCTATGGAGAGCTGGTTGCTCCTGTGGGGAACTTTTCACAGCGGTCCATTAATTGAGATCCACATGCCTTCACCGAAAAACTGTGTAGTGACAGCCTTTATTAGAAAATGATTGGCATGCTACACAGCTGTGTGTGTCCTTCAGTCCAAACCAACCCATCAGCACCTGAATGCGAAAGTAACATTAAAGCCTAGGACGATGAAGGCAGAGATGTTGTGGCTGATCTGGATGATGGCATTGAGAAAGACCAAGAGAAGTGTTTTGCACGCTTCTCTCGTCCTATCAAATTGCTTTGTCCTTGGTGGTGCACGGCTATTTGTTTCTCTGACCATGAAAGTGCTTCTTCAGCAGAAATACACTGGGTGGGAAAAATGGTATATGCACCTCCACCAGTCGCTGCAGAAGACACACATCCTAAGTTTAATTTCATTAAACTCTTAATTTCTTATGACATTAGTCAAGGTCGGGCAGGCATCCCCTGCGATAGATGGCTGGGGGAAGCTCAGCACTCATTAGGAGGATGGTGACTTCTTGTCGGGTACTTTTTAATACAACAAAATTAAATGTTTTTGAAAGGTTTTACTGAAAATCTTTTTGTGGAAAATGAATGGCAATGATCACTGATATTAGTAAATATGTGTATGGATTTACAAAAAAATATAAGCAAGCAATAATAAGCAAGGTATCAGTGCTCTGACCTTTTTCTGAAATGTGAAACATTTTTGTATCTTAAAAAAGAAGATTCATAACTTGGAGTTTATGCATGCTTGATGGGAAGAAAGGCTATGTAGTGAGCAAAGGTCGATGATTTAATATTCCATAGCTGTGCCCGAACTATCTCTAACTGATATCGCTGTTCACAACAAAAACAAACAGTTCTCACTCTTAAAATGTTCATTTATTTTTTCTGGTGAAGTACATCAAAGAACTTCACAAACATACTTTCAAAATAAATTATTATTGTTGTCTGACCATTTATTGGCTAAAATTTGATTATCCGAATAATCCATAATGACATAGATTTCCCGTTATCGACTAATAATTTATCTGATGTATATTGTGCATCTCTAGTAATATTAACAGATTATTTTTAAAAACTACACTTACAATTCTTTTTAATATATCTTCATTTGTGATTTCCTACTGATTAGACATTAATTCATGATTTTATCTCTTACTCCAACAATATTATTAAAGGTCCAGTGTGTAACATTTAGTAGGATCTATTGGCTGAATTGTAATATAATATTCATAGGTATGTTTTCTTTAGTGTATGACCACCTGAAAATAAGAATCACTGTGTTTTTGTTACCTTAAAATGAACCATTTTTGTCTACGAGAGTTGGTCCTCTTCTACAGAGAGGTTTCCACAGAACGGACAAATCAAATATATGTAGATAATCTAAATCTAAATATAACAGGTTACTGACAGTTTAAATGTGTCACTGTGGAGTATCTTAAATATGTGCTTAGGTGAAAGAAAATAAATCTGAATCCAGCAGCACTAGAAAGAGGGAAAATGGCAGCGCGTTAAATACCGTCTTTGGCCAAAAAGTGGCTTCTAAAGCCTGAAACATTCCCTATTAAAGTACGTGAATACAAATGAAAATGCCCATCCATGGTTCTGCAAATCCACAGCCCTGCCGTACATACTCTGCATGCATATCTATGTTTGTATTAAAGTGATGAACCTGAGCAAGGGAGTGATACAGGACAAGTCAGACTGGAGGAGAGCACAAATTGAAGAAGACAGCTTCCTCCTGTGTCGTCTGCTTCAGCGCCACTACAGTTACAATGTTTGACACAGCAGGTCGCGCCTGAGCTGCATTAACTTTGCTGATGACACATCGTAGAACACAACATTGTGTGGAATTGACATTCCTCAGGCACGCTTTTGTGTCAAGTATGTTTTTCGACATAAGAGAGGTAGTTTTTTCCTCTGTGGTTTCAGGAGCAGAAGACATTTTTAAACTTTTGTTTGTACTTCGTGGCTAAAAATGGCAATTTGTTTCTCAATTTATTGTCTGTAGAGCACTGCGCACTAACAGACAAGTACACAAGTAACAAGTAAACACCGCTTTCATTGATTGAAAAGTGAATGGAAACTTGCGTAAGCCCTGTTATGAGACTTCATTTGTCATTCTGAGCCTGACGGTTGACAGTTTGACAGAACTTTTCACAGACTCTGTCTTGACTGCAGGCAGCGTAAATGGAAAAAAGAGTAGGGAACCTGCAGACAAAAAATATTCTCTATGTTTACTCTGGCCATTGCATGCTGTAGATAAATGCCCTCCACTGTTTACACTGAGTTTATCAATTATTGTTTACAAAGCTGCCACCCTTTGTCAAGCCTGAATAATGTGATTCTGCTTCCCCTCGTCTTGTTTATTCTGCCGGGGATGGTGTGTTTGTTTTCAAGACCACCAGGCAGACTTTTTCGGAAGTGATGTTGGCAGGGACCTCACTCTTAAACTCGATTCCTCTGGCTTTCTGTCTGCTTTTCCTGCTGTTATGTTTTTTCCAAAGAAAATGATTGAAAGCTGCTCTTTTATAAACATTTCGACGAGGCATAGCTCTTAATGATTGGCGGAGGCAGTCTTAAGCCAAAACCCATTCTACAATACAAGAGTTATTACCTGGAGCCAGCCAATATCAGTGCCCTGCTGTGTTTACTGGATACTGTTCAATATGATGTTAAAGCAGTTGTGTCTGCAGCATGTGAAGATAGTCCAGCTATGCAAGGCGATGTTGAGCAATATGTTTCT